TATATGAGAGAATATATTATTAATGATTCAATTCTTTCAATAAATTCCATTTGATGAACTATATAATTTCCTGTTGGAATCTCATTATAAAGTCTATTAATATCAGTTAATAATATAAAGTCCATTAATATCAGATAATACCATAAAGTCCATTAATGTCGAATAGAAAACAGACTGATCTGTATCCCTTTCAATAAATTCTATTTGATGAAATATATAATTTCTTGTTGTAAGTTCAATATAAAATCCATTAATATCAGTTAATAATAGATTTATTTCGTTGGCAATTTATCTGTTACAGATGTTTTTATAATTTTTCATTTCATAACATATTAAAAACTAAACGTCTTTGTATATTCTTAACGTTTCGGGTACCAAGAATAGGTCTAACTTCATTAATAGGAGATTCATGAAAGTATTTATTCCAAAGTGAAATTTAGCAGGAAAAGTTTTCATGGTAGAACAATATGTAAAATGCATAAACATAACTGCTTCATAATCAATCGTAATTTTCCCTTTCATGGGTGAATCCATAACTTTTTGACGATATTTATCATAATTAAAATTTGTTAACGGCTGATCAATATTACATTTCAAAAGAACATTATTAAACTGTTCTTCAATTAATTTACTCGGATATTTGTTAAGTAATAAAGCCATACGTAATTTTTCACGTTCATCCAAATATGTTTGGAATGTAGAACAATACCTAATCACTCGAAGTAACATCGTAAAAGGTATATTCTTTTTCTTATGTAATGGATGAGTACTATTAAATGGCAAATAATACGGCTTATAAGACGGTTTTTGATAAACAGTAGTAAATAATATACCATCACGATTTTCCATATATAAATCAAGAAAGGTCGCAAATGAACCAATATTTGGGTTTAACTTAATATTTTCATCAAAATTCTTTCATTTGTCGATCTGTTTTAATAAATGCCTAGCGGGCCAGTTGATCACAATAAATAAATCATCAATATACCGAAAGTAGAGTCCACCACTATCCTTGATTTGCTTGGCTATTCTTCGTTCGAAGAAAGCCACATAACAATTTGCCATAGTTAAAGTTAACGGGGATCCCATAGCTGGGTGTGGGTGTGGGTGCGGTTGTAGATGAAGAGTAATCACACACCCACATCCACACCCACACCCACACCCACATCCACACCCACCCACATCCACACCAGCACCCACACCCACATCCACACCCACACCTACACCCACACCCACACCCACACCCACACCCACACCCACACCCACACCCACACCCACAT